TGATCCTGAGTGTACTAAAATAAAGTATACCTCAGTACTAGTTGAGACCCTCTAATACGTCAATTTCCTTGATCCGGCCCGATGGGTGTTCGACCTCGTGACGAGACCTAGTTCTTTTATGGTATACCTATAGGCTCCATTGTAGTTCCTTTTCGTGGTATATGTTTAGGATCCTATGAGTTAATCCCCACAAGGAACTACAATGGAGCCTATGGGTAGAGGGTATCTGCGCAGGATCTATGGGTCTGCGGGTTTGTTTGTGGGTTTAGGGTGGTAGAGGGCAGACTGGGTCCAACTAGACTTTCTGTTCAGGAGGTGCGTAATATAGGGACTTAAATAATTAGAATAGGGTTTTGGGGCCCATTATACTACAATCATAAGAGTACCACCGAAAAATAGTATTGGCATTTATTTAGGCCCCTGCATTAAGTAAGGCGCTTTGAGGAAGGAAGGGTGTTGGAGGGCTCGGAGGATGGAGCTACACCCATAGGCTCTGTCGTAGTCCGTTTTAGAAAATTACCTTATAAGATCCTAGATACAAAACCGCAGAAAGGGACCAACAAGGAGCCTATGGGTAGATCATCAACATTTCAGGGACGGAGGGCTTCCGCATTGCTCATATACACACACCGGTCGGAAACCCTAAACCCTATAATAAACCCTAAACCTTTTACCCTTAACCCTTAACCCTAAACCCTAAACCCTAAACCGAACCCTAAACCCTGAACCCTAAATCCTAAATCGATGTATTGCCCCATCGCCTCCCCGCAGATGGAAATGCGGGAGCAGTGGAGTGGAGGAGCGCCGTCAGCTCAGAGATTCGTGGACGGCTTAAGAGTCTGATCTCCAAACTTGGGGGCTTCATGGTTAGGGCGGTTATTAAGGGTTTCATTAGGGTTCGACGACGGCGCAATGTGAGGATAAGATAAGGACAGGTGATACGGGTAAGATCACAATCCTAATCCGAATGGCAGTCCATTTTTCGCATCGGTACCATGCATGCCATATCTAGTGCTGCCATCGAGTACGCCTGCGTAGACCCCACAGGAGTGAAGGAGCACCGAGGAGTGCCTGCCCTGGAACTTACAAGGAGTCCAAAACGCAGCGCCCTGGTGAAAACCTTGAAGATGGGCTTAGGGTTTAGGGTTTATAGGGTTTAGGGTTGCTTAATTCTTGACCTTTCGCTTAAGGATCCTAAAACCTATTCAGCGCCCAGCCCCAACGCCTTAAGCCCTCCCAGCCTAAACCCTACGAGACAGTCCCAACCCGAAACCCTTCAGGCCCTTCACCCCACCCCCACCCTAAACCCCAACTAAACTAAACCCTAAACAGCCACCCTAAACCCTTCACCAGTCATCCCCAAACCAACCCTGCAATTCTTTTTGACCCAAGAGCCGACCCGGCATATCAGGAGGGTTTAGCTAGCAGGATTATTTGGTTTAGGGTCTAAACTTTATAGGGCTTACTATACTGGTGCTAATACGGTAGGTTAGCCACCTCCGAGCCCTTCATCAGCCCTGAAGGGCTAAGAGGAACAAGCCCGAACCTTCTGGCCCAGAGGACGCCGAGAAAGTGGAAGCGAGCCGAGTCTGTGGAGGACGCCTGCGAAATCGTGGGGCTTTCGTTTAGAGGTCTGGGGCTTTGGTGCCTAAATGTGGGGGTGAGGGAAAAGCGGGTGAAGGATCTTGATTTATGTGCGGAGTGTGACTTGAAGAGTTTACTGCGAAGGCTGCCGGATTTCTCAGGAGTCCACATATAGTTCTCTAAATTAGGGTCCCTTTCTGGGTCCCCGATATAGTACGGCACCCTTATAAAAAAGGGCCCAAAAATGGACCCTAATTTAGAGAACTACCCACATCGCTGTCCCTTTTTGGGTCCCCAGGACTGGCGGAAGAAAGAGCTGGAGCCGGCGTCCGAGCTCGGGATTCCTGCAACGTCCAGATTTCAAGTTGACGTCATGAATGGCACCGTCCCCCTGAAGTTGCTTCTGATGTATGCCCTATACCTCTCTCTCTCTATATATATATATACATATGTATGTATGTATGTATGTATGTATGTATGTATTTATTTATTTATTTATGTATGTATGTATGCATGTATGTATGTATGTATGTATGTATGTATGTATGTATGTACACACACACTCTCATATTACAGTATATGTTTCCTGATAGAAGCGCATCTATGCATGTGCATATGTAATTTCTATCTACATACATCCACATGTACGTGTGTATGCATATATGCACATTAAACAGTACTTAACTGTACATCGTCTCCTGACCGTAATCGTGTATGGTTGTCTGCTACATCATTCCTAGGGTACACTGTCTGTAACATTGTACTGCAGACTCGAGAACTTTATTCTGCCAGCTTGCTACTACTCACTAGTTTGCTTCATTGTTCTCTTTCCTGCCAGTTTTGTAACGAACAAGAACACAAGTGGTCGTGCTGTAGAATCTGTAGAAGATGAAACAGAGGTTCCCTTGTCGAAGACTCGGAAGAGTTTCTCGCAGAGAAATGCTGCATGTCTGACAGACATGATCGGAGTAGTCTGGCATCTTAAGCTAGAAACCCTGCATAATGTAGAAGCCAAAACAGTTTCCAATAGTTTTTTGGTGGTTCCTTCTGCTAGCCATAGTGTAAGGTACCCCCAAAAGCCTAGTCTAGTTATTAAGACCTCTGCATTAAGCCAAAGCACGCTAAGCCTCATAGACTAGGTCCTCACTTGTGGCTCAGGCGACTGAACTGTACCAAGTATCACTACTTGAAGTTCGTCGAGAAGCAGAAAGTAGCCCGGGGCTCGGAGAATCTGCGGACTGAGCTGAACCTTGCGTCAGCCCTCATGGGTCGGAAGGCCTTTCCGCATCGCGAGTAGCAGTGTGAACCATGATAGTTCAGCAATTGTGGTTATAAGCACGGCCCCATGCTAGGGTGCAAGAACTCGTACTCGTCAACCGAGCCTAAACCCGAACTTGTAAACGAACGCCCCAACTCACCCGAAACAGGAAGATTCACGAAGACCCGATATTCGGTACCCGAATTACCTCCAGACCCGAACCTAAACGAACCTTGCACTGCCTTCGATTCCTGAGCCCAGGAGCGGCGGTTGAAAAGCTGTAAGAGGCAGCTGGTTCAAGCTCAGGAAGCTGGCAAGGAGGAGAGGTTACAGTCCTTGGATAGCCAGTAGAAGAACGTGAAACTTTTGGGCTTTATATATTCGGTTTATCCTAAAAGTTTGAACTCTATTGGGCCTGGTTGTTGAAGAGGAGAGAGTCTACAGGGCCTCAGCGTTCTTTGCAGGGGTTTTGTTTTAGGGTTGAAGGTTTTGGGGCTCAGGGTTTAGATTGGCAGCATCCGTAGCGCGAAGCGTGTCAGTTGCCAGATACTGCAGTGAACTCCGAGAAATTGCAGCATGGGCTTGGGCTTAGGGTGTAGGGTTTAGGGTTTCGGGTTTAGGGCTTAGGGTAGTTTAGGGCTGAGGGTTTAGGATTTCGGGTTTAGGGTTTAGGGCTTGTTTGAGGGATCGTTAGTGCCTGAGATCCTTTCCTGTTAGGGTTTAGGGTTTAGGGTTTACTTCCTTGAGGACATGTAAAGATCTTTTTTTGAACAGTTACTGCCAAGCGGCTAAGACCAAGCCGTGTCCAAGTCGCAGCGAAGCTTTATCCATATCAAGAACTTACTATACTATACTATACTATACTATACTATACTTAATACTTAATACTTATACATATACCATACTCTGCGGCATTATTCCATGCTGTACCGTCGTGTTAGCGCAGGAGGAGGTCGGCGCGCTTCAGAAGCAGCTGCGCTCTCATCTCGCGGACCACGAGTGCTCCAGCTTGATTGTAGCTTCAGGGCTTGTTTTAGGTTTACGGGTCTATAGGTTTAGGGCCACCCTAAACCCTAAACCCTAAACCTTAAACCGTAAGCTTAGGGTGTAGACGTCTTCATCCCACCTAGCAGGGTTTACGAAGGCGAGATGGTCCGATCATCGAAACCCATGCTGTTGAAGATACAGCCCCACGTCGCCCGTTGCGGGACCGACACGTTTTTGTCCCCAACCTCAGACTTCGGATCGCCGGGTTTAGGTTTAGGGGTTTGGGGCTTATAAGGGCTTTTGGTGCAGTTCTTAGGGAAGACTGTTCTAATTACGCTTTACGGGAACCCTATAGTAACCTTGCAGGGAAGCTCTACTGAAACCCTTCAAAGGCTTTTAGTTGAAGCCTGGCCAGGTATGGCGCAGGGTGTTGGGTTTGACTGCAAGAGATGGATGTGCAAAACTCTAAGCCCCGAACCCCTTAAACTTCCCCTAAGCTCTAAACCCCTAATTAAGCCCCAAGCCCTGAACCCCAAGCCCTGAACCCCTAACCCTATTGAACCCAAGCCCTAAACCAGGTACATTACCTACTACCCGAAGCACCTGCCATACAACTCGCTGTTTCCCGCGGGGAAACTCAGCCGGCCTGGGTGAATGAGTCTCTGATTATCATTGGGGTGCAGTGTTTAGGAGGTTTAGGTTTAAAAGTTGAGGGTTGTAGCAGCCAGAAGCTGAAAAGTAGCACCTCATCTTATGCCACGGCCTAGCTAACTAAGCCAGATGCCTAAAGCCCTAAACTCCCAAACCCTGAGCTCTAAACCCTAAACCCTAAACCCCTATAACCCTAATCCTTGAACCCCTGAGCCCTGAAGCCCTGAAGCCCTAAACCCTAAACCCTAAACCCCTAAACTCCCAAACCCTGAACCCCTGAGCCCTGAAGCCCTAAACCCTCCATCCTTTCTGAAACAGTTTCCGCGAGACCAAGGCACAGGACTCTGAGGCCTCGCAGCAGAGGCCCAGAAGCAGACTTGAAGGTGTAGTATAGGGGCCTAAATAATTAGAATTGGGTTTTTGGGGTTCCTTATTATAATCATAGTATAATTGGCTCCAAAACCCTATTCTAAGTATTAAGGTCCCTATAGTAGTGATAGGGTTGAGGGTTCAGGGCCGAAGTTCGGGGTCTAAGGTTTAGGAGTTTAGGATGGTTTGGGGGTTGAGGGTTCAGGGCCACAGTTCAGGGTTTAAGGTTTAGGGGTTTAGCATGGTTTAGGATGGTTTAGGGTTGGTTTAGGGTTCAGTGTTCTGAAGGAGCTTTGGGTTTAGGGTGTAGTTTTTGGAGATTTTAAGCCCTTAACGGGCCCTGACTGAGGGGTGTTCATCGGTGATAGTGCCAAAGGCTAGACATGTACATTCGGGTTTACAACACTCAAAGAGGATTGTGTGTGTAGTATAAATCGTATAAACAAAGTCTAGTTATAGTTACATACGAGTACATATGCACATATCTAGAAGTAGAGCTGGGGGGCCACCGTGGTTTCGCCACCGAGTGTTTGCTGATTGAAGCATTTGTTCGGGCAAGGACTCACTTGCCGCACGTTTCCGTTTCCGATACCGGTCGGAAGGGCGCGTCGATGATTTGCATGAAGAGCTGGACGATTGCAAGGACCATCATAAATATCCCTTAAACCCTAAACCCTAAACTCAATTCTTTTGCAAGGTACGCTTACTTGGTTCAAAAGGACCTCGTTTCGGCCTGAATGTCAACTGGGTTTGCGGGGAAGGGCCGTAGCTACGCATTTCTTTAACGAACCTCCGCCCAGATACGGCAAAACTTGAGCTGGCGACTACATCACCTGCATGAATTTCTGAAACTGCTCTAGAACCCTGGAACCCAGACCCTGCACCTGCGACCTCATATGCCTTAGAACCCAAGACTCTGCCCCCAACCCGGTAAAGCCCTGTAGACACTTCGGGCCTCCAGTCTATAAAGCCCTCGGCCGTAGTTGGTTTAGCTACCTAAGCCATCCCCCAAGGGTCCAAAGGACCCAATAATCAGGTACTTAGGTTTCGGATAGTAATCGGATAGTAGTTATTTAGATTACTATTTGGGAGAGTATATGATTTTTGGGTACTTAGACCCTTGGGGATCTTTCCTCAGGGCCCTGAACCTCAAGCCAAAACAGCCCGGGGAAAACAGGCTTCATGATTGGAATAGGGCTTTGGGTTCTGCAGTGGCTATGACTCCTATAGGGGACACTATGAGGAAGCATGTTACTGTAGAAGCCTACATAAATGCCAATGTTATTCCTTATTGCTCAAGGTTCCTTATTTTAATCATAAGTCATAGTGTAGTATACCCCAAAACCCTATGTTTATTATAAAGGCCCCTACATAAATTACGCATAGGCTCCATTTTAGTTCCTTTTGGGGATTACCTTATGGGATCCTCAAAAACAAAACGGAACTACAATGGATCCTATGGGCAATTATGTCCCTGCTTCCAGTACTAAGCTTAAACCCTAAACCATAAACAGTATACCCTAAAGCCTATAAACCCTAACACCTGAACAGACACCAGGCGCGCTGAGATCCGGCGAATGATACGCGAGCAGCTGTCGCAGGAAGGCCGCACCACTGGGGTTCCCAAGCTTTTGATGTTTAGGGTCTAGGGTTTCAGGCTTTTGACATGTTGTTTATGTTTTCAGTAGACTTGTTCGGGTTCGGAGCTTTCTGCGTCTTTGGGTTTACCTTCAGAGCCCGAAACCCACTTTTTTGTAGGCTCTTATTATAAACCCTAATCTGGGATTTATAGGGACCCTACAAAAAAGTAGGTTTTGGGTTCTTAAGGTAATCATGAATCATTAGGTGCGTTCGGGTTTGGAGTTGTTGGTTTTGCTGTTGGTTTCGGGTCTTGGTGGATCGGGGGTTCAGAAAGCTAATATAGGTGCCTTAATAATTACCTTTACTACTTTGGGGGGTTCCTTATTATAATTATAGTATAATATACCCCAAAACCCTATTCTTCTTATTAAGGCCCCTACATTAGGGCTTGGGTTTCTATTGGGTCTTGTAAACGTGAAAGGTTTAGAGCTTTGGAGGTTTACGGTTTAGGGTTTAGGGCTTTTGAGGTTTATGTGGTCTGGTGTCGGGTTGTGGGGTTCAGGGCTTTGGGGCGGAGGGTCCGTTAAGAAGTAGAGGCTAGAACAGATTCTAACAGGCTGCCTGATCTTGAACGGACTGGGTGCTTTTCGCGCTCGCCGGGTCTGAAGGTGTCGCCTTCGAGTTTGATCTTAGTGCGTTAGGGTTTATATGATCTACACATGCTTATCGAGTTCAGAGTTTACAGTTTCGGCTTCAGGGTCACAGCTTGCTAGTACCGCCTGCAGAAGCCTCACGAAACCAAGGCGTAGATCTGTGAGGTTTCCTCTCCCTGGTTCTTAGAAAGGAATGGGGCAATAGATCCCCATGATGGGCCCTTAAGGTCCGTGATTGTAGGCCCTTAAGTAGTACCTAGTCCCTATAACCACTTCCCCCCCAGTCCCTACTAATACTCAGAAACCTCAACCCCCGAACCCCTATACCCTAAACCCCTCTTCTTAGAACCACGGTTTTGATGATGAAGGCCCTTAAAGTATTTGGTCACGCGTGGATGCGCAGGTACGGAGGCTGCGCTTGATGCTCTGGGCGATGAGCCTCAGGCAGTCGGGGGGGGGGGGGTACTTGTGGCAGGAGTCTTTCGAGCTTTGGGTTGGACCAGGTGTCGGAGAGCTCGTGCTTTCTCCGAGCTGTCATCGCCCATCTTGTTCTGGGAACCTGCTACTCAAGCTTGCAGCTGCGGAACGTCGGCCTTCTCTCGGACACTGGAAAAGACAGAGAAGCAGCCTCGGTAACTACCCACCTGTCTTCGCAGACTGCTCCGATGTGCGATGTCGGTGAATTATTTCCGACACCTTCGCACGAACAGCCGATCTCTCAACCTCGGAAGAACTGTCCTTCAGATAAACCCCACAAGCAAACAGCGCTTGTGTAACCTCAAACCCCCCAAAACCAAACTTTCGCCCTAAACCCAGAAACCTCAAGCCCAAGAGTTGAAGGGTGCTTTTGCTGAGCTCCTGAACCCGAAAACACGCTAGGAACCCTGAGTCTATGGTTTCTTGTCCATGCTAGGTCTCCAACAAGAAGACAGGCCCGCCTCTTGCCGGTGAGTTCGACGCTGCCTCTCCTACTCCCCCAGTTGCCTGCGCAATGGGTAGTTGGGACATGGGTACTACTGTATACATGAGAGAGACGGAGACAGATTCACGCATATGGATATCTATACATATATATGTATATGTATATATATATATATATGTGTGTGTACATAGGTCATATATCTAAATGAAAACTAAAATTAAAATGCGCAATTTGCATATATATATATATATATACACATGTATCAACATACATATATACATATATACATATACACATATATATATATATATATATATCAGTATATACTTATCAGTTATGTGTGTTTATGGTTTCAGGACTGTAACTCATTACATATATATATATATATATATTTACATATGCATAGGTAGCTGAGCTCGTTGGCACATCCCATGATGGCTTGGTCTTAGATCCAGGCGAAGTGCAGCGCAAAGCCTCCAAAGTGAAACCCAAGCAGCGGCAGCAGCAGCAGCAGCAGCCGCAGCCGCAGCTGAAGAAAAAGAAGAAGCTGATGCAGCGCGGAGAGCTGCAAGAAGAGCCACTGGCAGAATCTCCTGCTGGGCACTCAGATTGCGTCGAGCAACTTCCAGTCGCTTCAGGTTGGCCGTCAAGATGTTGGAGCATGTAATATAGGGGCCTCAATAGTTACCTATATTATTTTGGGGGCTCCTTAGTATAATTATAGTAGAATGGGCCCCAACACCCTATTCTACTTATTATGGCCCCTACATTACGGCTCATGTTTCGTGTATCGGTCTATAGACCGTATTATAGACCCCGGGCCCGCTTAAGGCCAAAGCCTCAAAGCGATTGGTCTCCAAAGCTCTAGCAATGCCCTGTTCCTTGTCTACGCTGGTCTCCTAACCCCTGGCCCTCAACTCAGCAACCCTAAATCTTGCATCTAACCAGGAAAGGCCGTAGGCCCCGTAGGCCCCCGAACGGTGTAGTCAAAAGAGATCCGGATCGAGGTCGGTGAGACAGGTCGCCCCGGCTGAGCTTGCTCTGTCGGGACGTTGCCTTAGGGATCCAGTTACCCTTGGATAGCCTATGGGAGAACTTTAAACTTGTTTGGCTTTATATATTCTGTCTATCCTAAAAAGTTTGGAGCTTTTTTGGGCCTGGCTGTTGAAGAGGAGAGTACCTAAATAATTGGAGACTGGGGTACAGATTACATGGTTCGTAACCTGCTATTTAAGAAACCGGAGTGTAGGGCTCGAGGGTAGTCTAGAGGCCAGAAGAATGGGTAGCAGTATCCCCTTATTGCAGGTAGAATCTACTCCAAGATTCTAGTCTGATTTCCTTTTGTCATTGTATGTAAGGTAGTCTGTCTTGGGTTTTAGGGTGTAGCGGGCTTCTAACGTCCTTGTTTTTGCGATTCACTGTATTGTGCACGTTTCTTTCTCGCCATCTCTCGTCGTCGTGGTGTTTGGAGATGACGGACCATACACCTGTAAATATAAGTTTAATCTGCGCAGCCCATGTAGAAATTCAAGACGGTACTCCGAGTCAACTAGCTGGACAGTTGAGTGCAGTCGGAAGGCCAGTCATCACATGGAACATATGTGCTCAAGCCACATACGAGTTTCGTGGATGGTCATCGTGGGATTGTCGCCTGTGGAACTCCAAAGACCATTCGGGCATGAGGGCGCAGCGAACCGTGAGTTGTCCTCCACCCTTAGCAGGGATAAAGGCGTTGCAATCGGAAGGCTATGACGGCTATGACATGCAGGGCATGCTCCTTCGAGCCTTTATTCTAGCGGCTCCAGACGCCAACACGCTGCTTCGCTGGTCTTGGCAAAACAGAAACTTTGGTGGAATGTCCGTTTCCACGGAGCAGTTCCGGCTTGAGTTCGCAAGGGCAGTCGTTGACATTATGACGAACGCTTTGGTTAGCGACCTCTACCCGAACGCAAGTGCGGAAGGCTTGTTTGGAATCGACATGGGAGCCTGGTTTGTGGTTCAGCAAATTAATACTTTGAGCTGCCAGCTGCTTCGGTAGGGACTTATAGAAGAGATACGCTTTCTTAACCTTTACCACGCTAGTTCATCTAATTCTCCAATCAAGTCTACGTGCCCAGGAGATGGCATTCACGCGAGGGAGATCAGGCAGAGAAACACTGGCAAACTACCGTATGCTGTCTGGAAATCCTTGAGACTCCAGAATCCAGACGGATTCGAGCAAAAGCTCACAGAGGCCTTTTGCAGTGGATCTGTGCAGACGTTCTTCGAGCAGAGCCTCATTGCAATGCAGCCGCAACAAGGATCCTACGGCTATGAGATCTTGTGCCGTGGGCTGAGGTCAATTCGCTGGGACACAGCAACTTTATCGAAAATTGCTCAGTTACCGTCCTTGACCGTTGCACGCTGGGCCAAGCTTCGTGGACTTGAACGGCAATCGTTCAACGGCCTTGTCGGAGAAGTCCTCACGGAGACGGGTGACGGAATTGAGCGTCAACAATTCAGAGCCATGGAGCTCGTAGACGCCCCAGAGGTGGATTCACATCCGGCATGGAATCAGTTCGTTGCCGAGGAGTGGCGCCAGCTGCGTGCGGCCGGTATCGACCTCAAGGACCCCCGACAGACGCAGGACACACCCATCGTGTGGAAGCTCCTAAAGCAGCAACCTTCGATTTTGGTAAAGCCGGAGAACCTCGTGGAGCTAGAATCTCGAGATCTGGTGGCCGCGGTTCTGATTTCAGGACTTGGTGATGGCGAGGGCTCTGCGGCTGAGGACCTCCAGCTTCCCCGGGATCTTTCGATTTTCAGTACCCCCGGCAGTTCTGAGCCTGTGCCTGTTGCAGTTGCCGGTGGTATCAGTCTAGGTGTGGTGCACATCTCCCTCGTGGACCGCATAGACACTGGACGCTGCAATCCTTGGGGAACGCAAATCATGTCCTCCGCGAAGCGTGGGTGGTCAGCCGAACGCTGGGATCAATGTGGCCCGCTACTAGTTTTCAGAACAGATGGTTCAGATTTCACACGGCAAGACTTCGCCTCTGTTCGGAAGTACATCGACCTTTACCGTGACAAGTTCTTTGATGTTGCAGAGGAGGAAGGCGAGGCGGCTGCAACGAGGTGGGGCCAACAGTGGCTCCAGACGAATCCGTTTCAAAGGTGGGTAGAGACATCCACCTAGTGGATCCTGGCAGCGTATGAACTTAGGACAACAACATCGGAAGACACAAAAAAAGTCAATACTTCCAAGCTCTCGTTGTGCAGATGAAGTTGCTGTTCGAATTCCTGCGAAAGCTTGCAGCAGTACACAGCGCCCATGCCCAAACCCCTCGTCCTAAGACCCTAACTTACAGCATGGCGAGAACCTAAAATCCGAATGTCAGAAGTACCGAAGCCAGGGACGACGTCGAATCGGAAGCCGAAGAAGCGGCGGGTTGAGGCCCCGTTTCTGCAGTTTATGCAGCTCATAGGGTTTTCTATACGGGCCTTATTAAGAGTTAGGATAGGGGTTTCGGTGTTTAGGAAACTGCAAATACAATAAGGAATCCTAGGGAAGGATCTTAGTACATCTTTCAGGCATCTGTGTTACCGGTTTGGATTTAGAGCTTACAAGGGCCTATGGGTTTTGAGTTCCGGAATTGGGGGTCGATTTGAAACTCAGGAGATGTGACTGCAAATTCCGACTCAGGGGTTGAGTTTCGGTTGGGTTTAGGGATTAGGGTTTAGGGTGTTTCTGGGTTCAGGGGTTAGGGCGGTCAGGGCTTGGGTGGTAAAGATATGAGCCGTAGAAACTGGTCATGTCAGTTCTCCCGGTAGAACGAACTGGTAAAGCATACCACTTCTCATCCCTTGTCAATGCAGGACAGGGTTGTTGGCCCATAATGATGACGTAGGAAGGGGGCTCTAGTGTAAATAACATGCACGACATATGCTACAAGGCTATACCGTCTGCAGAAAACTGTGCATTAAACCCCGAAACCCTAAACCTCTAAACCCTAAACCCTAAACCCTAAACCCTAAAATTTAAACAGGATGCGTCCACCCTAAACCCCGATACTCGCACCCCAAGCAGTCCAGCTCTTCCCCTACGGCTCCACAAGATGTCCATCCTGTAGTGTTTAGGGTTTAGGGTTTAGGGTTTAGGGTTTGGGGTTCTGTACATCGATCCTAAAGTATTTGTTTACCTAGATTCCTGGATAGATTGGAACTCTCTTCAAGGCGAAGGTATACACCATATTAGGTACATGAAACCTCAACCGCATCTATTATAAACCCTAAACCCTGAACCCTAAACCCTAAACCCTCAACCGCATATATAGTTACTTTCAGCAGGAGTGAAGGAAAGACCTTCCTACAGGGTTTTCGTACGTATCAGATAAAAACCCCGTATGGACCGAATGCAAAGTACCCAGTACTGGATCCTAAAAGCCTTACTCTAATCATCCAAACCCCTGTATGAAGCATTCTGCTACAAGCGTCCAAGGGGCAGCCCTGTAGACCGACTAGAGTCACTAGAGGTTAAAGCTGCGAGCTGAACGCCGAAGTCTCAGTCAGAACGGGCTTCTCAATCCCACACACAATCGGAAGGCACAACCTTCGGAGAAGCCTACGAAGGCGGAGATCCGAATGATCTAATGGCCAGGCATGGAGGATGTTCGTCAGAGAGATGGGTGTCGCTTGTTCCGATTTATGCGGAATCCACCGTCCACCATTTTGTGTAGGACTGGGTTGTAGATGGTGCTGGTGTCGGTTGGCCGCATAGGTTAGCACATCGCGCGCGAACATATCGAGGCTTAGGGTTTAGGGGTTTAGGGTTTAGGGTACATCAGGCTGGACACGACTCGCATCCCTCTCACCCCGAACAGCCAATTGTGGCTCGAACGCGGCAAAAAAGGCAAGAACAGCACAGTGCAAGCGCTATATACCCCACAAGCCCCGATCCATGCCGTCCCAAAGCGTCCTACCTGCCTCAACACCTCTTCCTTGGGCAGGTAGAGAAGGACGAGGCCTCCAGAAAGAAGCCCTTGAAGCATCCAAAGAAGAAGGCCGACGGCTGATATCTGCTGATCCGGTCTTGGGTTCGGGGTTTTAGGGTTTATAGGGTTCAGAGCTATATACGGGTTGTGGTTTTGGGTTCGGAGTTGAGGTTCAAGGTGCAGCTTGCAACAAGCTCGTAGGCTCTTGTAGGCTTCGGTGTCTTAGGATTTCACTGACGTTGTCACATGCGTGACACGAGTAGTTAGTATGCCGAGAGGTCGGGTAAGGACGCTGCTATCAACTTAACCCTTACGCCACGAATCCTGAAGCACTGAAGTGCTCCAATGACAAGCCTCCTGTAAGCCCTTATGTCACCCCAAGCAACATGTCGTCCAAACCTATAAGCCCTGAAGCCATCGTACGAGGCGCAGAAGGTGGAGGAGCCCTCCGCCAAGCCGGCTAAGACGGCGAAGACAAAGAGCTCCAAAGGCAAGGACTGGGCTTTGGGAAGACATCACTTGTTAGGAAGCGGCTTAAGGACGGTGGTGGGCTTGCTGTTTCAGGGAGGATAATTTCCTCCACCGGACAGGATAGCCGGCACTTACAGCCCCCAAATCACCAGACCACTACTAGACCACCATGAATCTGGTCAACATCGGAAGCTACATGGGGTTTAAGGTTTTAGGCTTCCCCTTTCAGGGTTCAGGGATCTGAGTTCAGGCTCCGAGGTTCACATGGTGTCCCCTTCAGGGCCGGATGAAACGATAAATTGTTTTTGCATATCGATGTTTGTATATGAACTATGCAGTTTTCAACATGTAACAAGCATACGCACATATATAAGACAGAGAGAGAGAGAACGAGACATACATACATACATACATACATACATACATACATACATACATACATACATACCTACATACCTACATACCTACATCCATACATACATACATACATACATACATACATACATACATACATACAAATAGACATGGAGGTGGACCTGGACATGGAGATAGACATACACATACACATATACGGTTGCATATACATACCTGTGTATACATATGTTTATGAATTTATCTGTATGTATATATGCATACACACCCCTATATAACATGTATATGTATATCGGCCATACTTGTAAACAGAGTTCATCAAAAGCCAGGTTCAAAAAGTTCCACTGCAGCCGACGGTGACGGCGGCCTGCATCCCTCCTGGAACGCCAAGAAGACAGCCAAGGTGGAAGAGCCCTCAACCCTCAACCCTCAACCCTGAACCCTAAACCCTAAACCCTCTAGCCTTCAGAAGCTTGGGGTTAGGGATTAAGGGTTGAGGGTGTAGGAACCCTCATTAAGGGTTTAGGGTGTAGGAACCCTCATTAAGGGTTTAGGGTTTAGGAACCCTAACTAAGGGTTTGGGGTTTAGGGTTTAGAGTTTGGGTTTTTGCTTTTGGAATTGTAAGTACCGATGTGGGGAATGGCTACATATAGCACTTACAGAGACTCAGGGTAATCACTGAAGTAAAGCCCCTAGTTTTTCTACAAGTGCTGCACTCAGGCGCGAAGCTACATTGACTCTCGGAGCCCTGTCGTTCGAAGTTCGACCAATGTCCTCGTAGCCTCGTAGCATACCGCCGGATGGTAAAGTAAAGCAAGGCGAAATCACCGCAGTGATCCCAAAGGTCCTTCCTGCACGCTATCTCTCTCTCGCTCTCTCTCTCTCTCTATATATATATATATATATATATATCTTTGTATCCGTCCGTCGGAGGGAGGGGAGGAGTGGGGATGGAGAGGGAGGGATGGACGGATGGACGGATGGACGGATGGACGGATGGACGGATGGACGGATGGACGGATGGACGGATGGACGGATGGACGGATGGACGGATGGACGGATGGATG